ATAAAATCACAAATAGAATTTTGCCTCGCGAATTATAAATTATCGAAAGCGGATTTAAATAATGATTTATATCTCTTCTGCATGATTTATGATTAAAGGATAATTTATGAAATTGATTCGCTAAAACGAAGAATTAATTCTATCAAACGATATATAATTCGGTTTTGATATCGAAATCAATATAAAAAAAAAATCCATCAAAAACACGCTAATATCCCCGGGCTTTACGAGAGGAACGATTTGGAATCCTCGCATGTGCAATTAATGCCATGCTGCATCATTCGCGCCACTGAGAGGATTAATATCCCGCTCATAGGACAAACGTATCCAAAGTGTAAACGAACGAACAGCTGAATAATCACAGGGAACGGGCTGTTTAATCATCTCGGTATGATTCGAAGTCATTTCGGGCTCTCCGCCTCATTACGCGCGACACGGCTGGACTAGGTTCGGGGCATTCTCATTGCGTAAGACAACGCTTGTGATATCCAAAAGCGATTCGCTTCCACTCGCGCGAGTGCATTTGCCTGTAGACATGCGTGCACGCGTGCCGGATGCATTCCGGATTAATCGCTAGAGATGCGTCTCTCGATTCTCACTTGACACTTGCGTTGTTACCGAGCAATCATCTTCGTATCGACATTCATTCGATGAATATACAAGCTTGAGTGTGTATGTATTATATATCTATATATGTATTATATTTACACATGTGCGCGATGTATACAAAAAAAACTCGTACGCTGCTGACGTCGAGCAATTTTAAATTAATGATCGCGTTATCGTGAATAAGTCGTTAGATAATTACATGTCTTGCATCTGGCGAAAGGATCAATTAATCTGCCGCTTCACACGCCGTCGACCTAACGATGCGGATTTACGGTGCAAGCTACCATAGCGACGCTCTTTTTCTAACGTCTTTTTGTCTCATGACGTGAGAGATTAAGTCCCTTTCGAATTTGTGCAAAAGTTAATATAATTTTGCATCTCTCTTTACGTGCGGATAATTTGAGAAAAAAGTCGCATCACGAATATCAGCGTCGCTTCTCTTTCGCGAATGATTCTTTCGTTCATCGAGAGAAAGTTGTAGAAGAAAGGAGAAGATATAACCCTTGATGTCTTTTAATTGCCGGCGATAATAACGTCAACGAGGAACATCCAGGGATAAAGAAGGATATATCTATTATCGTTGGTACTCGTTAAAGAGTTCCTACACGGCAAAAGAAGCGAAGAAAGGCAGAGGCAAAGAGTAAAAGACGAGAGAAGAAGGATCCTTTGATTCGTGCACATCCCGTTTTGCTTATTTATTTCTGCCTCAGTAATTCGAGACAGAAGTTTCCCGGCGCGATCCAAGTCTCTACGCGAACTTTTCATTGCGTTTCCCGATACATCCGGCGAGAGTTCCGCGATTCGTCGCGCAAGGAATATCGACTTTGCAATGCGCGCTCGTACAACTCGAATCGTAAAAAGAGATCGCGCTGTCAAACGACCAGCAGAGCGCTCTTGTTAGAAACGTCGGGCGAAATAATCGCTCGTACAAATGAAAAGAATGTAATTTAATTTTCTATAAAGTGTGCGAAAAATATGTATCTATTTGTTAAAAATATAAATTATTTTTTCAACGAGATTAGATCGAAATCATGTTTGTCCAAGTATTAATCGACGTGCGTTTCTGAAAAAAGACAATTTCCTGCGATTACGTTCGATCGTTTTTAAAACTCAGGGCCAGCCAGTCGAAACGCGGGTCTCGGTAAGAAGTTCTTTAGACAAGTTAAATAAAGCGCGAGGGCACAGGAAGCCGCCAAGGATCCTTCGCTATTGCCAGCAGTCCGGCGACGTTTAACTTTGTGCAACGCGTCCCGGTCTTGATTTTAAGGATTCGTATATTTTACTTGCGAAAGAGATAGACGTGGGGTTTTATAAGATTACATGCGAGAGAGGAGAACACGCCATTCTCTCGGCGGCAAAGATAACAAGACCGGTCTCGCGCGGAGAGATTTGGCCACGTGCCAACGCGTAAGATTCGCAAGAACAGAATTGTTGAGCCCGCACGATTCCCTTAAAGTAATGCTAAAAAGTACTCGACGGAGATAGTACCGACGACGATCCGACATTTTCTCCGATTGGCGAAGGAAGTTGAAAACGAGGTCGACGCTTATTAAGAGAGTTCCTTCGTTAACTCTCCACGAGAGACCGCGCCCTAAGCGCGGATAATCAATCTTTTTTTAAATCTCATATCGTGATTTAAATTTCAACTTCACGGAATAATTTTGCATTAAACTGTAAGTAATTGTCTTTAAGCATTATTATCGGAAAAAAATTATTACTCGTTTTTTGTCCTCAAATTATTTTAACTTAAAAAAAATTCCGTCATACAAACTATCAATATTGTAACAATCCATTATTATCAACATGATGACAAATTAAAATATATAGATATTAAAATTTGCACATAAATATTTTCTACGTTAATAATAATGCTTTTTTTCTATGTTAATAACAATGCAATAGTTTTGCAATTATAGTGATATAAAAAGCATAACAATTACAAAAACATTGCTTGGTTTTGTTTGGAAAAACGAGTAAATGCCGTCTAAATAATTTTGCGTCAATACGGCATCCTGTTTTGTCCCCGGATCGGACAATTCTGTCTCTCCACTCTTGTTTCCTCCCAATCTCTCTCTCTTTTTCTCTGTCTTTGTTTCCGTCTATCTATACATCTCTATCTCTCTCTATCTCTCTTCATCATCTGTCTACTTCTTCATGTCTCTGGCTATTCGAATCTCATCGAGCTTAGTTTTGCCAAGCAAGAATATCGCTCGTAAAATCGTGACGAAGGCGAAACAACGAGATGTTCCTAATGAGAGGAATGTAGAAAGAGATAGTGTAAGATGTCTCAAAGTAAATTTATAATGAAATTATACTAAATAAATTCTGAAAGATACGTGCTTTGATTAAAATCTCTATCTCAAAATTATAATATTAAATAAATTTGCTAAAAGTATCTATGAATTTTAACATAAACATTGCACATATTTTTTACAATTTCATACAATTATATTTCAATTATATTGCAATTTTACGTAAAGATTATTTACGTTTAAACCAAACTTATTATTAATTGTATAGATGCAAACTCTAAAGTCGATTAAAATTTATTATCCAATTCAAGCGATGCAACAAGTATAAAGTTCTACTAGATTTGCGAGTCAAGTTCTATTAATATTTAATAATTAAATTTAGAAATCGCATTTGAATCGTAAGAATCCTGTATAGTGATACACATATTACTTAGCGTGTTTTGTTATTTGTTTTACACACGTCTCGCACTTTGGCTTTCTAGCGAGTCGAGAAATTTTCGCGTCGATATCGCTCGACGGAGGCTCGTTCAAGTTAGCTGAAAACAGCGGATTGGCCAGACTTCGTCTCGGGCGCATTGCAGGAATACCGATGCGGCGAAATGGACCGGTCTGTACGCGCGCACAACACCCCGGAAACGTATACAATACGTGCACCTTCCACGAGAGACACGGTCGCATAAACTCGACCGTATCGCACCGACATCCATACGAAATTCGCAGCTTGCGTCGCTTGTCCGACCTGTTTTGTCAACGGAAGAGATTCCGCTGCACGGAATAAACGCTCATTGTCTCGCTTCCGCTATCTCCCGCTTTCTTCTTTCTCTCTCTCCTCCTTTCTTTCCCTCTCAGCTTCACAGCGGTTGGGTCCGCGTAATTATAACTTTGGTAGGATCCACGGCGACAACACTGTCGAACGCGTATTCTCGTTCTCGAGCTATTCACCCGTTTCGTAAGTACGCTCGCGCAACGTGTCAGTCTAATTATTTCGTTTTCCGTTGAACCTCAGACCGAGGAACGAGAGACGAGGACGGGAAAGTACGATGGGGATGAAGGATCCTCCCCGAGGGCACTTTCTTGGAGCTCTTTTAACGATCGCTTTAATGCGCCTACGAGCCTTTCTCAACCGCAAATCGTTTTAAGTTGTCTAACTTTGGTTTTCACCCCTTTTGATCGCGATCGCGATTTCTTTCGGAATTACTCGTTTATCGTTTGCCAATATTAAATTAAAAATGTATCAATATTGAACGCGAAAATATTTTGATACACGTTGCGAAAAATTGACAAATCTGAAAAGACGAAACTCCATCTTTCTTGTGTAAAAAGATATAATCCGCAAAATTAAACTGTCACAGATACAAATTTTCAAATGCAATTTTGTTAAATTAAATTATCAAATATTCAAAACTGTATTATAGCCTTTTGAAAGTCTCAGTTCTTTTGAGAAAGAGAGAGAAAAAGATATATATATGTATATATATATATATACTTTTCTATATTTTTTATATTTTCCCTTATTTTTTCTTTTACTTTTATTTAAACAAAATTACTGGAAATAATATTTCTAAATTTCTTAGCTTTCGATACATATTCTACCACAATCGTCCGAATAAAACTGTGCGATAAAATACGACCTTCTAATAAGATTCAAACGGCTACGATTGCAAAAATAACGAAGGGTTGAAAAAGAAAAAAGGGCAAAGAACCACGGTTGCACATCGATTCGTTTAACTTCTCCGCTCATTTAGATAGTTAATTCGTCCAAATCGCCGCTTTATATGTGTTTGCGAATTTCACGCAAAGGGAATCCGTGAGCGCTGAAATTACAGCCGGAATAAACCGTGAATTATTTAAGGCCTGGAATATACGATCGAACGATATCAAGTGGGATGATGAAACACATTTGAATGTTCAAAGATCGTTCCATCCACGTCATTAAAATATTATCCATAATTTGGATTCATTAAATATACTTTAATTAAAAAAAAGAATATTAAAACAATATATGGCAACATATCAATTAAAGTTTACCGATATGACTTGTGTTATTATAAAAAAATAAGGTTTTTTTTACGGGATTAATTATTTACATCAATCTTTTCTTTAATGCTAGAGAACTTACGGTACTTATTGCAATTGCAGGTCGGCCAGGCACGGATTATCCGGTGCTGGGGAAAGTGCCCTACACAAATTTCTACTGCGACGACCAGTCCTTTCCCGGCTTCTTTGCCGATGTAGAGACGAGATGCCAGGCGTGGCATTATTGTGACATAGACGGGCGACAGGCAACGTTTCTCTGTCCGAACGGCACGCAATTCAGCCAAGCGGTATTTGTCTGCGACTGGTGGTTCAACGTGAGATGCGAGCTCAGCCCGAAGCTTTACGCCATCAACAGTCGACTTTACGGTACGCCCACCGAGAGCCCGACCAGACCTCACCGACTGATCACAAAGGAGCTTCTGGAGAATATTTTCGTGCGTAGGAAATGAAGAGGTCGAACAGACAGCACGCGATATTCGCCTTGAATCAAGAAAAGAAGAGAAGAAGAGGCGAGAGGAAGAAAGGGAACGGTCATCATCGTTCGAAATGGAAGACACTTTCCCTCGCCATACAGAGAGAAATATCATAAAAAAAGCGCCGCGGGTCTTTAAAAATCCATACAAGATATCCTTTTATCTTCTTTAATAAATCGTTTGCGAATCTTGCTACTTCAAGAGTCTCGATTCTTTGATCTTCGAATCAATCGTAGTCACTTAACTATTCCATTTTACTGATCGACAAACTATCGTGAGATGTATGTCTGGACACTATCACGACTCTGCGAAAACACTTTCACAGGAAACGTGAGCGAAACATTCGAGAACATCCGATGCGAGGAAAACACGCCACTCTGAAGAACCACTCTGCATCTGGAGATTATCGAGAGAGATCAATCTTTGCCAAGTGAATATCGAAATGACAAAGATCTTTCGTCCGCAAGCGAAGACTGGCGCCGAGAAGACGAGAAGGATGCTCGTCGACGCTAAGCACCTGTGTCAATAAGAACCGGAACCGGAGATAAACTCTTCCGCTCACATTTGCCCTTCCACATTCATGTCGCCCTACGATTCACGTCGATACTCAAGGTTTTTAATCATTGATGAGATCTCATCAATGTCTATTGTAGCTCTCTTCTCTCTACCGGCGTCTTTACGGATGTCATCGACATGTCATCTTTACGGATGTCTATCGCGCGTCTCGTCGGTGGATAAGAAACTGCGGAAGTTGATTGTTATAGCGGAAGTATAAGAGTCACGTGCCATCGACACATTTGCGCGAAAATCAATCAACTACGTGTTCTATGATCGATCATTAACCCGAATGCGATCCTCACACAACAATGCTTCGATTGTGCTGTAATATATTTGATAGATTTTCGCGATTTTCGTTGTAGTTTTCAGTAGTGATCTTTTGTTAATTATATTTACCAACCCAAAAATAAATCAATTTTAATTACGCTTTGCTATTTTGCGAATATCATAATGTTCGTTGTATTTTTAGAAGTGAATTTTTATGCACGCTAAATTATATTCATATACATATAAATATGTATAAATAGGCAAATATTGTCAAAATATATTTTTTATTTGTTACTATAAATGTAGTATCGATTGCGAAGGCATAAAGTATCAAACGAAAATATTATCAACTTTAATATATTGTTATATGAATCATTGAACAAAGTAATGATGATTAAAAACGAATAAAAATTTGCCATTTCTATATATAAAATACCATCAATTTTTATGTAAAATTATTCTGACAAAATATAAAAATACTACGATTTACCATTATAACTTGCATCGCTGTTTCATCTAACGATTCATGGTGCAAAGTGTAATATTTTATATATTTATTAAAACATATTTATTTAAAAATATGTACAAAAAATATTTAATCCGATTAATTGTGTAAAAATATAAACATTGCATAGTTTTGCAAAATAAACAAATTTTGCGACAATATAAACCGCTATCTGTTTCAAACGGCGTCGCAAGAAGAAATCGTTGCGCGTGTGCGACATGAGCGGGCGTAGAAGTTGACGAAATCAATAGCTGATAATACGATTACATATTTTGATTGTGATGCCCGAGCGAAGTACGACAACGGCAGGTTTGCCGGCAATTAGTAACGGCATGTTGTGTGATCGCGCGATATTGTTGCGGTTCGCGTTTCGTAGCGCTCTGAAAAGCGATCGTCACGCGACGAATTCTCGCCACGACTAATAAACGAGCGTATGCACGAAACGCACAATCGAATCGCGGGTTGCGACTTTTGTCCTTTTTTTTTTCTTCATTGTGTAGAAACACTGGTAGACATAACTAATCACTCGAGATATCTCCCTCGAGCACGAGTTCATAGTGTTAATTAGTTGTTGAAATTGTGAATGAGCAAGCGTATGCGTATTTTGTGTCACTGTCATTTGTAACGTTTGATGTAAGCGCTTTCTGCAATCGAATGAACACATGTGCCTTGTATATAATAGAGATAAATCATACGTATCTACACTAAGCCATGATATGCCAATTTTGTTTCATAACGTTATAAACTCATTAGCGATTTTGTTAAAAAAAGATACCTTAATATTTAATCGATATAATAATAAGAAATATGTTTTCAAAATTCTGATAAACGCAATTGGCGATGAAAATGTACGATTAAAAAAGATATCCCGAAATTATTTAGCTATCTTCGATTCTCCGATATCCAACGAGAAATCTAATCTTCATAAAGTCCCGAACATTTATACAAGAATGTAATTACTGAAATTTTTATTGAATATAAGAGAAGGAACTTTTACGAGAGGAAGTTACGGTAAATTAATTCGAAAACTTCTTGATACGATGCATCTTCAAAAGATGCCTTTGCTAGGCAATTTGCTGATGAGAAAGGGTTAACGGAGAGAGACCAATTTCAGTGAAATTAAAGATCGCTTCTTAAACAAGTGGCAAAATTTAAGCTGGAAGATTGAAGAGTCACGCTTAATTTGATTATAAGACAGAAAATCTTAACTAATTCGTTCCGCGGTTTATACGCAGTGCGATTAAATATGCCTTAATTGACAGCGGCATTTTGTCCATTTTTACCTATAATCATATTTTCAATATGAATCCTATTTAACTCGATTTAAGTGTCGCGTCAACCAATCGTTCACGCGAAAGCAATAATAAAAAAAAGGACGCGCGATGATAGTCTAATTTTGGACAAAATTCAATTCAATCCATCTTCAGTATTTTCAGTTTAAATCTGCGCTGTTGAAAGACGTATTCTAAAGGTGAATGAAGTGATTGACATTTTAATAATTATGGATGCATCTGATGAATAATTTTATTTTCAGGACAATCTCGAAGTAATTATTTCTTTAAAAATATTATTATATGCGATAAGATATTATGTGCTAAATGAACAATAAACGTGTAATTACTTTTATAGATTTTCAAATTTAAAATTTAGATAAGATGAGAGAATTGACAAAGTACATAACGCAATATATTATAGAGCTCTTCGATAATCAGACCGTTTGTGAAACTTGAGAATTATTAAAAAAAAAAAAGTTGCGAAAGTATTGGTTTGATGATGGCCAACGCGGTCACTGCGGCCACAACTGATTGAACTTATACACCACAAACTCTATTGAACCTATACACCACGAATGGAGTTTTATATAAAATATCAGATATCTGATACGTTAAATGAACCGCAAGTTGCATTTCGCGAAATAATTGGTTTTGTATCAAAATTTTTTTTTCACAAACTGAGTTAGTGCGGCACGATGGTACATTTTGAGGTTTGTCTCTATGGTTTTTGTTTTAATTTTATTTTATCTCCCTCCGCCTCCCTCTTCTTTTCTCTTCTATCACATTCATTTCGAATTGTATCTGATATTCTTCATACTGTGTATCTATATAGGCATCCTGACAATTAAGCAATTGTTAATTACGAATATCAGAATATTTTTTAAAATAGTATTTTTCAATCGCATAAAATTAATTGAAAATCACTGTCCTATCTCAATTCGACTTATACTTTGACTATATAAAGCTTATATATTTACAATGAATGCAGTGTGAGTCTTGCAAATGATATCTAGACTACATCATGTACAATTTTCACTCGCACAACTATACGAAATCGTTTATTGAAAACGGTCATAAAGCGAGATCGGCTAATATTGGCTAGCATTTCAAGTTATTGTCCAGAAAGGTGGATGCGCGGATTGGCAAAGCGAGAAGAACGACGAAAGAGTCTAAGAATCCATCAACGAAATCAGGTAATCAAGTAGGCCAGCACGAACCACTTTCAAGGATTCAATTTCGCTGGGAGTTTTGCCATTTTTCCCGCCCCTTTTCTTGCATTTTTCTTCCCTCCCTCATTTCGTGCAAGTGCACTATGCGCGTGTGCGCAATGTCGCTCAGCATCCTTAGATTCATCCAATTTTGTGAATGAGCTCGTTTCAGTTGCCATTCGATACGTCTGCGCTCTGGACATTGATTTGGGATTTTCTCTAAACTATTGGAAAAATGATATATCGATAGAGCGATATGATGTGAATTCAACATTGTAAACGAATCGCCATCAAACACGCAATATTTTTAATCGAAAAACGAATAAATAAATAAAGTTAAAAATAAAAATAAAACCAAAAAGGATTTATAAGCGACGATTGAGAATATCTGTCATAATTTTTCGACAAGAACTCTGAGAATTGATGGCCAAAAAAACGATGATTAATATTCACGAAGATGTACCACTTTCGCGCCCTTAATCGCAAGATTCTTTTGACGTAACTTTTAAAGCCGGATGCAAATGGGCCATAAAACCGGGCATCCAGGTGGCTCATTTACGAGCGCGGAAAGTTTTTAGATTCGCGCGAGGATCGGGTTGACGATCGCGCAAATGAGAGGGACTGTTTTATCGGTCTGCGAGTTCGAAAGTAATTCTCTTACTTGACAGTAGGACCGAGGGACCGCGCGAATTGCCAGAGACTAACTTTGCAATAATGAGAATTCTCTGTCCATTTCGACTTCCTTATCGATTGCACTCCTCAAATATAATATTACTTTGCAGCTGTTATGCTCGATGTATCATTTTGATATCTACTTTACGCTGGGATGTAAATTTACTGAAGCAGTAAATTTACAAATACTCGAAACGGTTAATTAATAATAATAATAATCAATTAATAATAATAATTGCAATTTTCATTCGCGCAAAGACAAGAGAAACATTTCGAACAATATTTTCAGGCTTAATCATGATGATTATTGTTAATAAATTTGTAACTTTTTCAAAAATTTAATAAATCAATCAATTAATTAATTAATTAATTCTTTATAAATCGGTTTAAGTAAGTCGATTCTGAGACATCGTTCAGAATACCTAGTATATCTGGCCATTCTCGCGCTCGCGTCGGCGGGAGACAGACACGCGGATGAATTATTTTCGTTCGCATAAACAAAGCCACGACTTGAAAGGGGAGTTTAAATTGTTCGCTAGTTTTACGCGCCCGCGGCGTTCTCTCCCTCGCTCTCTTTTCGTCCTAGTCCAACTTCCCTCTTCCCACCTAATTCTCGATATTTCTCCTCTTTCCTTCTCTTTATTTCGCTCTTTCTCTTCCGCTCTCTCCCCCTCGTTGCCGGAAGGGAGAGAGGCGAATGCGCGCGTGTTGTTGCTGCTGTTGCCGCTGTCCATCAGGAAAGATCCATGCGAGTCTGCGCTTGAAGCCCATTGATTAACCGTTGTCTGCCGCATGCTACGAGCGAGAGAGAAAGCGGAAGAGCGTTCTCATGCGAAACGAGACAAGAGGAGAGAGATGCGTTCAACGTGCTCACGAGTAACGCTTATGAAAACTTTGTGCATCGGCTGCGCTGCAACAACAAATAAAATAACGCCCTCGATTAGCCCGGGCCATTCTCTCTCTCTCTCTTTCTCTCTCACTCTGCTCCCCGACCCACGCGAGCCGCTTAAATTATCAGCGTTTTCCATTTTGTATCGCCCTGAAGCCCAATCGCCAGCATCGTCGATAAGCAACGTCAAAGAGTTTCGTGCTAGCTACAGAGTCAAACGTGTCCACCTGTGTTATTAATGAAGCGTTTTCCGGCTGGTCTTAATATATTCCTACCGTGGCAAGATAAAACGCTGATCTTACACTTTGATAAGTTAAACAAGCGCCTAGGGTTCATAAATTATAATGTAGAGAAGCAAAATCGATATTGCTAAAGGAATATTTAAGAAAACGCGAAGTATAATTTAAAATTTTAATTTCTAAAAATAGCCAAAAACGAAAAATGCAAAATATTATACAACATCTCCTGCCATTTTTCATACATTTCTATATGTATAAAAAATGGCCGGAGATGTTGTATATGCAGAGACATATCAATGCATGTATAAATACGTTTTAGATTCGACGCAGCGAATGAATATTTCTGGGAAAAAACAGTGTGAATTTTCAGGCTTTTCTACGATGATAGAGATATTTCGAATATATACGATATTTACGCCGATTGCAACCGTGTTCTCTCTCATCACAAAGGATTAAATCGACAATTGTTCAATCGTGTATGTATGTTGTGTTATGTACAACCCGATACGACATGATGTTAACACGCCAGGCTTCCGGCCTGGCCGGAGGATTACAGGCAAATGATGCCGCAGTGATCGATTAGCACATA